GGGGCAAGAGGAAAAGGAGGAATGAATAGTACACCAGCTGCATCGCTGAGGGTATACTCACACAAGGGGCTTTTTGGCAAAATACGAAAATTTCCGATGGTTTTGCAGTCACACCGTGCCGCGCCCCCCCCCGTGTGGCAAATGTCAGTCGCCTGCAGGGACCCTCCCAATTGCGATTTTGCTGGTGAGTGAATATGAGTATCAAATTTTGCGTAAATGCAAAAAAAAAAAGCCCTTGTGCGAGTATGCCCTGAGAGTGCTTAAGAAACTTTGAATGCTTTTGAAATTTGAATCTATGGTTTTAATTTATTTTTTTTTTAACAAAAAAGGGGGAGCTTTTTCAATTACAAGCTATGGTGTTAATTCTACTCTCTAGGAACAAAAAAAGTACCTCAAAGACTGGATAAAAAAGTTCCACCTCTCCTAGCAAGGACACTGGGTTAATTAAAAAAAGAAAAGAACAAAAGCAGTGATCCAACTCAAGAGTGAGTGTCATACATAATCACTGGATGATTTCAACTGAGGCCTTCCTCCTTCGCGTCGAAGGACAAAAAGAATTGAAGTTAATAAAGTAGGCATTGTGGTAAAAAAGGAGAAGCTAGTTTTTGGAGAGTCTCTAGATCTCAATCGAAGAGTCGAACAAGAATGAATACCACAGAGCCCCAGCCAACTAGCCTAAGGTTACCATGATCACAACGATTGGGAGTCTAGAGGCTCAAATAAAGACCAGACACATATGAACTGAGTAACTTCGGCTCCTTGTAAATTACGTAAAGGGACGCTGGTGCAGCTCCCCACCAATGGAACGGAGGCATCTATAAGCGGGAACTGTTAGAAGGGGTGTCTGCTCATATCAGCACCCCCCTACACCCGTCGTCGATGTTTAACACACACACACACACACACACACACACACACACACACACACACACACACGCACACACACACACACACGCACACACACACACACGCACGCACACACACACACACACACAACACACCACACACACACACCACACACACACACACACACACTACACACACCACACACACACCACACACACATCAGCCCTCCGCACAATCAAATGCAGACCGCCCGCCCCCCCCTGTTATCCATGCTGAAATGGCAGACGCTAATGTCGATACGCCAACTCAGCCAGAGATCATGCCAGCCGCAGTAAACAATGTGAATGTTACTGAAATGGCAGTAAGGGATGAAGGCCAGCGTCCTACCAATACAACGACTGTTGTTGTTGCTGCTGCTGCTGAAGCTACACCACCTCCTCCTCTGCCACTGCTGCCACCGCCGCCGCCACCACCACCACCACCACCGCCATCACTGCCGTCATTATCAGCAGCACCACCACCATCATCACCGCCACTCCCACCGACGTCCTCTGTTGCAGCATCCTCTCAGTCATCTGCATCATCTTCTTCTTCCTCTTCCCCAACTTCTTCCTCTACTTCCTCATCATCGACCTCCTCATCATCAACGCACTCATGGTCAGATCGGTCGTCACAAAGGCCCTGTCGGCCGAGGTATCCGTAGTTAGATCGATCGCTACAGATGCCTCTTCGGTGGAGACGTTCCCCGTCTCCACAACAGCCTACAAGACAGCGGCCTCGTTTGTTGTTGAATGGCATGATCACCGCGCCCCCTGCAGGGTTAGAGATCTGCTCCGACGACATGCTCGCAACCGTACGGAGCGACATCGTCGCTTTCAGTATACACTTGCGAGGAATAGTGCACATCGAGTCCGATGTCCGCAATGTGGCGATGATTTCTTCAGTGCTGCAGGCTTACGAGTGCACCAGACACGAGGTGCAGCTACCCGTGCAGCGTTTGCACGACTAGCAGCTGCCTTAAGCACAAGTGAGGCTGATCAGCTTCCGATTCCCACATCTGGTCCACCAAGTTCTCACCCACCTGACCCGCCCCTCTCTCATCCACCTAGCCCCACTCGCTCTCCTACCCCAAATGACAATGACCCGTCTCCTGATTACCTGACGGAGCCCCCGGTTGAAGATCATCTCTCTCCGGAGCACATACCGGAGCCAATTGGTCAAGACCACAACGAGTCTCCGCCACGTGGGCAACCTGCAGAATCGAACGAGGATCCCCCTCCCGTAAACGGATCCCCCATGCAACCTGCGGAATCAGAGGGCGCTGTGTGTATTATGCCATTAATGTATGTCTCCTTGCTTACAATTGTAATCCTTATACTGTTGCTGATTTCGCAGACGTTGTTGGCTGGATAGAAGAAGAGCACCGTGCCGTCTGCCCAGAAGGCGACAGCGCTGCGCCTGGGGTGAACATAGAAGTCCTGGCTATGGCATTTATGGGTAGGCGACTGCAATTCCAGCCTGCTCCGCAAAACCACGAGCCAGGCACGGATCCGAATATTCGGGCATATATCTTATATTGTCCAGGTCACTTCAGTGCTCTTACCTTTGCAGATAATTCATGGACCCTATGGGACAATGGCGGTAGGGTGCACACAGTGGGAAATATTAACTCTTTCTATCACAAAATGCTGGAGGGTCACTTAGTCTGGCTCATCCATCAGGAACAATATGTCGATGAACATTTGCAAGCACTGCACCCCCCGGAGAGCAATCCTGCTGATTCTACCACAAACAGTGAAAGGACCTCTCCACAGGATGATGGCTGTGCCCTCCCGTTGTGTCATCGCACAGGTACAGTTCGGTTGGCATGTACACGACATAGCCTCTGCTCCGAACACTATGAAGGGATGGTCGCTGCTAGCCTCTCACACGAAAATTGTGATCCCACAGGTACAGTTCAGTTGGCATGTACACGACATAGCCTCTGCTCCGAACACTATGAAGGGATGGTCGCTGCTAGCCTCTCACACGAAAATTGTGATCCCCAGTCCTGTGCTCATCCCCCCCACCCCCTGATTACTAGCCCAGCACGAAGTGGCAGATGCGACTTCGAAGTGGCAGATCAAGGCCACAAAGTCATCTGCGTATCGCACATAGCTAAGACATCGAAAGTTCGCATCTGCCACTTCGTGCTTGTCGTTGTGGCCTTGATCTGCCATGCTTAAATAACTGTGCACGTCAGCCTTCCATACTAATGACATGTCAGCAACATGCCATGTGTCTTCAATGCTTCAAGGAAGCTGTCATAGAAAGTATGTGTCTTTACTGCATGGACTATCCCTGGTGCCATCACCCTCCACATCCTCTCCTATCATGTCCCACATGCGGTATTGGTCATACACCTACGGCAACCGCTGACGGATCTGCCTCTTTCATGCCAGACGAACGACGAACACAGCAGTCCGAGGAGGAAAATAGACTTCTATATGAACCACCGGCAGAGCGATGTGCTCATAGTTTATGACGACCAGGGCGAGCTGTTGCGGATCATATCCTGCAGCAGCTGAATGCCCTTGCGTTGGACCGATCCTCCCTGTCGTCGTCTGCCCATAGAGAAGGAATACATACTGAGGAAGCCCAAGAAAGATGCTCCATGCCGTTTTGTGATGACCCGCCGGAGATTGAACTAGCATGTGGTTCACATGCCTTGTGCCGTGAGGATTATAAAGGTATAGTCCATGCAAGTTTTTGCTTCCATACGTACGATGACAGTCAGTACTGTACTCATGTACGGCACCCCAACATGTCATGTCCAATTTGCAGACGGGCTGGAACAGCAATGCCTCTATAATTGCGGTCGACGTGCCTCTGTGTTCCTAGCATGTACGAGCCACGTAGCCTGTGTCATCTGTCTGCACCGTGCCATTCGATGCAGCAACTGTGACTGCGAAAATTGGATGCGGTGCTTCCATAGCCCACACCCGAACCGGTCCTGTCCGGTCTGTAGGGGTGGCCACTCGCCATAGTTGTTGTTGTTGTTGTTGTTTTTTTTTTTTTTTTTTTTTTTTAAGTCTGCTTCAGCGGTAAATATTTAGAAATCTGTGAAACCCATCATACACCTTTCCCCTGCTCTTTGCATGTCATACTCTATCCTGCCCTCCCGTTGCCTCTACCTCCCCGCCCCATACTCCTAGAGAACTCCGCCTTCTACCCCTTACCCTCCACCCTCCCCTCCACTCCCCTTGTACTACTAACAAATACATACGAATGATCATCATTAAGAGTATAGACAGTATGAAGATCAGAAATGAAATGAACAGAAAAATGAAGATGAAGGACGGACACAAAGACTGTATAAGCTGAAGATCTGAAGTGAAATGAACAGGAGTATGAAGCTCTGAAGAGATGCACAGGAGCATACCTTCCCTTTTACT